TCTCTCTCTCTCTCTCTCTTAAAAAAAGTGTTTGCCAGAGCAAGGGAGTTAGCTTCTTGCATTGGGTGGGACTCAGAGGCCCTGTGATGTGAACAAAGCATAGCCTTGAGAGGTACCATTGCCTAGAGGCTGTAGGCGTGGGACACTGGAGATGGCTATCAAGTACTGATGCATCCTATGAAACTTGTTATGGATGTGTGTTTGGCTTTCTTTGGTTGGTTCTGAGTTGGAAGCCAAGGAAAAAGGAAAGTAGCTGTCATTGCCTTACTGGTTTGGACTATTTAAAGTCTGTTGCTCTCAGGGGATGGTTTCTGTAGAGGTTGTGGGTCAAACACAGCTGAGCTTGTCACTAACAAATACATGTCGGCTTGTGAGTGGACTGAGTGGCAATGTCACTTTGTAGTAGGGTCAAAGAATTTATGTCAGTCTTCATCATGGGATTCAAGGTGACACCTGCTGTTTTCTATTATTGATTGATCAAATTTTTAAAAAATTGAAATGAGATTCATTCAATATAACACAATTAAAGTTTCTGTTGGTGATACTGGGGAATGAACCTGGGGTACTCTAGCACTAAGATACATTCTCAACACTTTTTATTTTATTTTAAGACAGGGTCTTACTGCATTGCCCAGATTGGCTTTGAACTTGAGACGCCTATCTTAGATTGTGGAGTAGCTGGGATTGTGATCATGTGCCACCATGCCTGGCAAAACTCACAATTTTAAGGTGAACACTCTGGTAGCATTTTATACAGTCATAATGTGAAACCACCAGCTCTATCTAGTTCCGAACATTTCCACCAACCCCCAAGGAAATTCTTTATGTATTAAGAAGGTGCTTCCTATTCTTGCCTTCTCAAACTATCATAAACATCTAACATAAATGGAATGATAAAAATTTAAAAAAAAACTATTGATTTCACATCTTTCTTTGTCTCTGTTCTCCTTTGATGATGACTGTTGTTGTAGGATAGGGCAACAGTGTAGGTGCCATATGACCCACAATTTATGCATTCCATGGTATCCTCTACTTATATGCGTCTTCGCAGAGGATAGTCTCTGCATCTTAGATGCTGGATCACTGGGTATGAAATTCCTATATACAAAGTGTACGTGGTTGGGTGAGGTGTTGCACACATGTTATCCCAGCTACTTGAGCTGACGAAGAAGAAGGATTGCAAGTTTGAAGTCAGTCTTGACTGCTTAGGAAGAGCCTTTCTCAAAATAAAAACTGTAAAGGGCTAGGGATGTAGCTTAGAGGTACAGCATTCCTAAATTCAATCTCCAGCATTTGAGAGGGGGGGAGGAAGGAAAGAAGAAAAGGAGTATCTGCCCTATTCTATCAAAATAATAATAATTCAATTAAAATTCATATTAAAGAGAATACAGGAGCAAGTATTGATGAGTTATCTAGATGAGACTGCTGCAATCTCCTTTTCTGAGAGTATTTTAGAAGCTGCAAAGGTATGTTTTTAAAAATTCCAAAAATAAATCTGGGTATGACCTTGTCCTAATGGGGGTAGTTGAGAATACTAGTTAATTTCTTCCTTACTAGTTAATTCCTGCCTTTACCTATTAATTTATTCTGGATCCTTAGGTTTTTTTACTCTGTCTTTTAGCTTTTTCCGTAATATGGAATGCTATCTTTATAAAGAGAATGTGATAGATCCATTATAATAAAAGATATACCCTATTCATGAGTTTTAGCCAGCTGTCAAGGTATCATCAAGTGTGGTTTATCTTGGTGAATGAAAGTTTGAATGGAAAATTAAGCTCCCACACCGACTGTAGCAGTGCAGTGGATCATTTTGTTCTTTAATGTCACACTTCACTGGACACACTTCACAGAGCAGTGAATCATGCTTAAAACAAGCAGCTTTACTTTAACGACAGGAGATAATGCAGCAGAGGTGAATAATAAGTGTTAGCAGTCTTAACTTTCTCTGCAGTTCTCTCTCTCAGGTGCCTGATGGACAATTTACAAAGCATATTTGCTATTTTATAGATTGGAACTTGGGATCCAGCCAGTGGCCTGAATATGACAGAAAGTCAAAAGGGAAAACCAGCTAACATCACAGATTCCTTATCTAATCGTTCTTTGATTGTTACCACAATTTTGGTAAGTATTTGTTTTTCCATTATTTGAGATAAATGTACATACATATGGAAGTGGAGAGACTAGTAATGACAGAATGCAATCTATCTTATAGTTATTTATTAATTACTGTGTAACATACAAGTCAATATTAATATAGTCATAGTTTTATTTTGTTAATCTTCAATGATATAAATTACATTAATGTTTGGGATGTTTAATACTGATTTAAAATACAGCTTCATATATTATTGGGAATCTAAATTTTTACAAAATAAATTATTGAAGAATTATCAATTATCAATGTTAATATTTGAAAATACAGACATGCAAATATAATTAAATGAGGAGTAAAACATGAACTTTATTTCTGCTTATTTCCTGCAAATTTATTTCAAGAGACATAGCATTTATTTTTCAGTATTTTCCCCCGCTATAATTATTCCTTAACCTTGTTTTCAGTCTGGAGTATAACTTTACTAATCTCTCTAGTGAAATCAAATGGCAAATGCTTTTTAAGCCACAAATATTTTCACCATCAACCTAATTAAGTGAATGTCGAACAACTAGATAATTTTACTTCACTTATAATTGTATATTTTAATAAGATCTCACAGTAATGGTCATTTATGCCATTCATAATAAGGAATTTTACTTTTAGGATGAACAAAGAGCTTTTCTATTATTTAGTCAGCATGTTTGTTTCCCCAGGTAGTAATAAGAATATGAGGTTAGCGTCCAGAGCAACCCGCTATAAACATTAGCATGTATATAATTTCTAAATTTGATTTACAGTGGCATATCAAGCCAGGAAGAATTCATATGCTTGTCCTTTTATTAACTAAAAAAGGATATCAAAGCTGTAGACAAATCAAAACAAATAAGTTTCATTAAAAGCTTCTGATAATGAAAGCAAAGCTAGTAATCTTGAAATGACAGAGATAGAAGTCATGAGATTTTCAAATAGCTCCCTTGCTAAGGACCTCAGAATACTTGCTTCCTATATATCATATTCAAACTTCCAAGGCCCTCTTTAACTGAATTTGACATCTCCCTTTCTTTTCAAAGATAACTGATAAACCCACGAATCCAGCCCTGTTCTTCAGTCAAAATGTTCTCACAAGGCAATAGCACATCCTTTTTCTTGTCCATCAACTGGTACATTCTTGATTTCATTACTTCCTTCTTGTACCTATGCAGTAATCATAAAACTAACCCTCTGCTTATTGCCTTACCCTTTCCAGTGCATTCTAGTCCTCTCTGTAAAAAAAATTAAACTGTCATTTCCTTGCTTACTTGATTATACATTATAATCTTATGTGCTTAAGAACCATTAAAAAGCCCCCAAATTTCATCCTTGATATTCAAGGCCTTCTATAATTTTGTCCCAACTTGTATCTTCATTTTCCTTATAGGATATCAGTGTTTAACTGAGGTGGGACAATCTGTTGGCCTACTGCTATGATTATGTAGGCACAGTATTCTTTCTCTGCTATGTTCCTATCCAGTTCTGAGCTATTATAGTATTTGGCAGTAATATATATGATTTAGAATTAATATTTTGCTATTTAACTATTTCTTGCATGCATTATTTCTCCAAACATCATTAAAATATCATTAGAGAAATAAGATTTGACTGTCTTCTGTTTTTATGCCACATGTGCCTTCAGTGTTGTCAGAATAAGGAATGTTGTACAGAGAACATCTATATCCCTTAATAGTCTCTATTTCTTTCTGTGTTCTTCCGTAAACAACCAAATTCCCAAATATGTCATTTATTGCATGCCTCCAAATATGTGCTTGATTCTTCTTTATTTTCTGTTATTTAAATGTTCTTTATATTTCCAGACTCATTTCAAATGAGATCCATGTCATGAATCTCTTTGATCTCTTCTTTAGTTGACTGTGTGGCAGGGAGTGTAGGGTAATGCTTTACCTGTTAATATTTCATTGTGGCACTTACCATGCATTTTTTATTTTAGAAAATTTATGCATGTCTGTGTCTCTATTTGGCATGTAAGCTGTACAAGGGTCAATAATCAAATTTCATACTTTTTTGATTTCTTGGTTTCAGAGAAAAGTATCTTAGTCATAGCAATCACTCAGTAAATATTTATCAAATTAAATTTTGAATGCTATTTAATTAAATGAAAAATTAAAGGAAATAAACAACCTTTAAATGACTATATTTAAATATTTTTCAATTGTGTAGGTTATTACAGTTTCCTAATACAAATGAAACAAGTGATTAATATTACTCATGTAGTTTATGAGTCTTGTTTAGTTATTCAGGATTGTTTTGTAAATTGTTATATTCAGATATTCTTCTCAACCATAAGCAATTTTACTTCTATCTTTAAACTAGTAGTGTTTCAGATTTTTTAAAATATTTTTTATTGGTTGTTCACAACATTACAAAGCTCTTGACATATCATATTCCATACATTAGATTGAAGTGGGTTATGAACTCCCATTTTTACCCCAAATACAAATTGCAGAATCACATTGGTTACACATCCACATTTTTACATAATGCCATATTAGTAACTGTTGTATTCTGCTACCTTTCCTATCCCCTACTATCCCCCTCTCCTTCCCTCACATTGTCTCTCTCTACCCCATCTACTGTAATTCATTTCTCTCCTTGTTTATTTTTCCATTCCCCTCACAACCTCTTATATGTAATTTTGTATAGCAATGAGGGTCTCCCTTCATTTCCATGCAATTTCCCTTTTCTATCACTTTCCCTCCCATCTCATGTCTCTGTTTAATGTTAATCTTTTCTTCCTGCTCTTCCTCCCTGCTCTGTTCATAGTTGCTCTCATTATATCAAAGAAGACATTTGGTATTTGTTTTTTAGGAATTGGCTAGCTTCACTAAGCATAATCTGCTCTAGTGCCATCCATTTCCCTGCAAATTCTATGATTTTGTCATTTTTTTATTGCTGTGTAGTACTCCATTGTGTATAGATGCCACATTTTTTATCCATTCATCTATTGAGTATTTTAGATTTATATCAGGGCCAGTCATAAAACTTTTTAAAAGTACTGGTATTCTAAATATAATTTATACTGTTTGAAATAGTATTTCTAATCTTTGAGCCTCAGACAGCTTCATTTTTCAAGGTTCTAAAGGAAATGCTAATCTGTAAATATGATTGAGAACTACTACTTAGATTATTATTCCTTGTAATTTAGTGTAAGTAAACCATTACATATATACTATGTTTACAATATATGTTGTTACACACACACACACATGGTGTAGTCACTATTTTCACATCTCTTAGTTGAAAAAAATCTAATTCTTTTTCTGAATGCTCTTCTCTCCAAGTGTCCACAGTCAAGAAAAAGAACAAATTTGAAGGGATTATTTACCTTATTTATGTAAACATTATGCATGTTATAATTTATTGGTACCTCATTTATATTTTATGGAGAGATTATGATCATCTAATTAATGTTATAGTTATTTTTCCTGTTCTCTTTTGTTAAATCTTAGAGGAAAATGTGGCTTTTATGCTTAATGACATTTCTTCTAAAGTTCCTATTATGTAAAGAAGACATAAAAAGAAGTTCAGCTATGATTCTTATTTAACATTTTTATAATGTATCTTAAAAACCTGTGAGATGTTGTAGAATTCAGCATTATCTGTGAAACAATCATGATAAACTATATTTCTCATGAACTATATTTATTCATTCATTTAATTTAAACCCCCATTCTTTTATTGAATACACATTCATTGAATAATGATAATATGCAGACATTGTGATAAAGGCTTTATTGGATGAACAAAATAGATACTGTTTTTGCCCCATGGAACTTAGATAATGGCAAGAATTCATATGGATAATTACAAACACACACACATACACACATTCATGCAATGCACACTCAGCTGTGATCAAGATATAGGAGTAAAGTGAATGATTAAATGGCTTAGTTTATAGAATGATAGTTGCACTGCTGGTCAAGAATGAAAAATTAGGACTCCCAGCAGAAGAATAGGCAGCAGAAATCCAAAATTTGGGAAAGAATTTGCAAAGGGAAAAATAAGGGAAAAGGAGAGTGATAGGCAGAGAGAATAGCATATGCTGAGTGCCCTAATGCAGGAAAGGTATTGGGAAATTTGCAAAATTGAAAGAAGAATATGATGACCAGGGCCAGTGCATTGGTGTGCTTCTCAGTTTCATCCGATAGGAATATCTGCATAGGGTTCATTACCAATAATAATAACAAACATTTATTGCATGCCTTCTGTGTGCCATAGTTAAGAGTGCTACCCTTGTATTTATTTAATCTTCATAATAACCTCTTTGAGGCAAATTTCATTATTCATATCATTATACAGATGAGAAAGCTTATATCTGGACTTTCCAAGAAACTTACTCATGTTTGCACAGCTGGAACGTGGAGTAGCAAGGTGTCCTCCAATCTAGTTAGTCACCTAGAGCTACTAGTACTGTATACAATTTCTGTTGATACACTATGAAAAGTCTAACACCTATAGTTTAGAAACAAAATAGTACCTTGATTGAGAATTCATCACTTAAAGCAATATCTCTCATCAAGAAGTCGCACATATGCTAGAGTACTGTTATGTGCTTCTGGGCATACCCTAAATATCTAGACATTCTCCTTTACAGAGGCTAGCATTTAGCTTCCTCTTATGTTGATATGTGGATTTTTAGTTTCTGTGCTTGCCTAACTTAGCATTTCAGCCTTTTAAAATCATAATCTTGAATATTCTTAGGCAAATAAAATAGTATTGGAGCTTAGGTTATTTTTTCCTCTTTAGAATTGGGATTAAGAATTGAAGTTATTTATTATATTAAAGGAAGAAGAACAAAGGGGAAGGAGGAGTGAACCAGGGAAGGTACTGAGGAGTGAAATTTATCACACTGTGTTACATGCATTCACAAATATGCCACAATAAAACCCATTAATATTTTTAAAATTAATTTGCATCAATAAAATAACTTAAAGAAGAATTAGGGTTGTTACAATTTTTTTTCCACATC